CGGCGCTGGTGGGCGGGAGCGGCTGCTCCACGCTGCTGGTGGGAGCGGCTGCTCGACGGAGGGAGGCGCTGCTGGGCGGAGGGGCAGCGGAGGCTTCGGCCGGCTGGGTGCGCCGCGGCGGCTGGCCGGCGGCGGCTAGGAACGCTCGGGAAGGAGGGAGGCGTACTTCAGATCCTCTTCAGTTTTTTTTTTTTGAGGGGTTCAGATCCTCTTCCTTTGCTTCTGGGAGCTGCCTCCTATGTGCGCCCGACTGGGCCGGCCCATTACGGTGCCCCGCGAATGCGATAGTAAAATATCGCAAAAAAGGCAGTTCGCGCTTTGCTTTTCCTGGAAATCAAACTTTACGACTGAAGATGACTCGTGACAAAAATGCATCGCCAGAATACAAAAACTAAATAGCGGTAGGAGACTTAACACTATCTGAAAGAATCCCAAACAATATTCTAAAATTTGAGTTGTTTACCGAAATTACGAAACATTTTCGACAAACCTGAACAATTCCCGAAATGGCGAACACATTTTGAAATTTCTGAACTTTTTCCGTAAACATGAACATTTTCTGAATTTTTGAACAAAATTTTGAAATCATGAACATATTTTGAATTTTAAGAACAAATTTCAAAATGGAGAACAACTTTGAAAATTGTAAACTAATTTGAAACGCAAACAATTTTTTTGATACGTGAATAAAATTTTGGAAATGAGAACATTTTCTGAAATTTGTGAACAATATTTTAAAATAGGAACATTTTTTGAAATCCGGTCATCATTTAAAGTTCTGATAAAATGAACAAAATATTTCGATTTTTTTAAAGTAACAGAAACATTTTTTAAATTCCCAAACAATCTTTTAAAAAAGCAAAAAAAAATTGAATATATGATTTTTTTTAAATCACGACTATTTTTTTAAAAAATTGAGCATTTTAAAAGCACAAAGGTTTTAAGTTTCCGAACAATTTTTGAAACATGAACATTAAAAAAAGAATTTAAACTTGGAATATAAAAATGAAACAAAAAAGAAAAGGAAAAGAAAAGAAAAGAAAGAAGAAAGAAGAAAAATAAAAAAAATTGAAAAAAAAAGAAAAACCAAATGGAAAACAGAAAACTGGTTCGGGAAACCTTCTAGAAGGTTCCAAAAGCAGAAAAATCCGGCTGGGAAACTCTAGAACATTCCCAAAACCAGAAATGTTGGAACACGTTAATGGGCCGGCCCAGGTTACCGCTCGATCGCGAGCTCTATGCGAAACGTCGATTGTTCGACGCAAAATGCGTCGAATAGGATATTCGGTTGCTTCTTTCCATCGTCGCAACACAACTCTATGATACCTGATACACGTAAACGGTCCACTGCTCCGCAAACCTACCTGGATGCCTTTTAGTTAACCGGACCGAGAGGCTGTGGACCATGTGGCCACGAGAGGACGAGTTTGTAACGAACTTACCTCTCAAACTACTACGTTCTCTTCCTCCTTTGATTCATGTCTAAAAAAAAACTCTCTACTTTGATTCCACCTAAAGTGTCGCCTCCTAGCGCGGTCGGCGGGCGCTAGAGCATGGTGATGGAGCTCCTGGTTCGATCGTTTCTGCCCTTTTTTCCTCCCTTTGCGTACTATGATGTCGGAGATGTGTTACTCTCCTTTCATCTCCCTTGTTGGTCTTTCTTCTCGTCCTCCTCCACCTTTCCGACAACACAGATTGGCACAGCAGCAACTCCATTCTGCTCTCGAGCGGAGGCTAGATGGTGGAAATCTGGAAGAGATCGGCGCGAAGGAGGCAACAATGGAGTAAATGGTAAAAAAAACTATCACAATACCGGCTAGGGTTATGGAAAACTACCACTTCACTTGATTTTTAAAATGCTACCACAAATTTGGTTCGCTGTTCCAAAAAACGACCATGTCACACTGATGACTATGTTGGTTAACTTTAAGCGTTATTATGATAGCTCGGGTCCACTCGTGAGGTTGACCATTGACAGGTTATGATAGGCGGGGCCCAAATATTTTTTGAAAGGAAATTAGATCCCTACAGTAAAAACTAAAAGCAATTAGGTCCCTAAAAAGAAGTAATCGGGTCCCTACAAAATTAAAAACTCAAGCAATCGGGTCCTCGTCGGCGAGCTTGTCGCCAGAGCCGATGAAGGGACCTTTGCTGATCATCCGGCGTTGCTTTTGGACGTGGTTGCGACAGCTGTGGCCGGCGGGAATTAGTAGCGGCGGTGGCGGCGGGCTGGAACCGCCCGTGCTCCCTGGCTACTCCCCGCCCGTGCTCGAGCTCGTGGCCAAGGTGGGGGTGGTCGATGGGTGCGACAGCTTGCGGTGCATCCTGGTGGCGTTCGGCCGGGGCGTCGACGGCTACGGAGCTCCTCCCCCTCTCTGCTGCAAATCCCCATAACCCCGGTTGTCCTCCCGCGGGTGCTGCCATGGGCGAGTATGAGCTCGACTCCGACCACCGGCGAGCCACTCCGAGCCGCCCACTCGTCGCCCTCCTTCCATCTTCTCCGTGTTCATGGCGTGTTGGGGCCGGCCCTGGCGGCCCTGGCCTGGTGCTGGCTGACCCTGGAGTTTGAGTTAGATCAAAGCTAATATGTGGAGTAATAAAAACCGAGGGAGCACTACACTTCCTTTCTCCACCCGTGTTTATTACGACCCCTCTTATTTTGTCTTAATGTTTGATGTGTAAATTTAACAAGCAAAATGTGAAGCATATGTCACAAAAATTACATCGTCGAAAAGGTTTTTCAAATACAAATCCAACAATATATTTACCATATAATTTATATTTTATATTAATCATATAGAATTTTTTTTTGCAAAAACATATAGACGATTATAATAAACTAAGGGTTAATAAACCCAAACAGAGATTGTACAAGATAATGTAGTATGCATGGTGGATCTCGGCCCTTACCGGTGGGAGGGCTCTGTTTTCAGTTGTTCCTTCACATTTTGTTAGGGTTTGTGTCCTGCTCAGGAAGACGAGATGGCGGCGCTTCCCTGAAGATGAAATAAGGTTCTTCCCGCCCAGCCCCCGTCCATGGTGTGTCTAGCATCATCGATGGGCGTGAGGAGGTGTGTCACCGGCGGATTTGTTCTTGGTGGATTTGCTCGGATCTGGTCGTAGTTCGTCTATGTTCATGTGTTTTTATGTTGGATCCTTCCGATCTACGCTACTCTTCATCGGCGGCAGTTTCTGTTCTGCTGCGCTGGTCCTTTGGGATCTTAGCATGACGACTTCCCGACTGTCTAATACAACAAGTTTTCCCCCGGCTTCGACGAGGAAGGACAATGACAGCGGCGCACCTTTGGCTTGCTTCAGTGCTTGCAGCCGTTGTTAGGTGGTCTACAGATTTGAATGTAATTTTGTAGTATTGTTTATGGTTTCGTTATACTATTATGATCGAAGATGAATAGATTCTAAGTTTTCTAAAGAAAAGTATGTGCGATTTGACTCAGGGTACAAGTGCAACAACTGTGCAAGCATGTGCGTTGCTGATTGGCAGACGACACCACCATGCACAAGTTTTTTTTTAGGCGTGTGCAGTAACAGAAAACAGAAAAATCTAGGCCCGCGCTCCGAGGAATCTTTCCAAGGCATAAAACAACGAAGCAGTTGGGCCATGCCCCGGTGAGCTGTCGACCGGCGGTTGGGCCTGCTGGCCGAGCCGCAGCCCGGCCACTTGGGCGAAAAAATCACCCATCCTCCAGAACCTTCCGAGGCCACGCGCCCGGCGCGCGATCTAGAACCTTCCACAGCCTTCCCGACGCGCTAGGATCCTCTACCGTTCGGCAGCCTGCCGTTCTACCACTGACATGTGGGCCTGTTGGAAATCTGGCCTACATGTAAGCGACCCAACGTCACCTAGCGCACGGCAGAGGAGCCGTGTCCCTTCCCGACGCCTCCCGACGCGCGCGCACTGTACGGACGGGTATTTAGCACTGCGGCCGCCACTCCACCCCGCGGCCCGACGAAATTCACCCACCGTCTCCCTCATTTCTTTACCCACCCGCCCACCATTTCTTTACCGCACGACAAAGATCTATCCCGCCGCCTTCGATTCCACCCGAGATATCCCGCGATTCCACCCGAGCTTCAGCGGGAGCAGAGTTGGTCGGTGTCCGATCCGAGCTTCTTCTTTCCCGGCGCCGCCGGCAGAGTTTCTTGGGCTTGATTCGTGTTCTTGCTTGGGCAGGCGGGGGTCATGGAGGCGGCGGTGGCGGGGGGCGTTGTGAAGGAGGAGGAGCTGCTGCTGCACGAGGAGCAGCCGCCGGCGGGGCCGCAGCAGCAGGACGGGGCGCTGCCGCGGCCGATGGAGGGGCTGCACGAGGCCGGGCCGCCGCCGTTCCTCACCAAGACGTACGACCTGGTGGAGGACCCGGCCACGGACCAGGTCGTGTCATGGGGCCGCGCCGGCAACACCTTCGTCGTCTGGGACCCGCACGTCTTCGCCGAGGCACTGCTCCCGCGCCTCTTCAAGCACTCCAACTTCTCCAGCTTCGTCCGCCAGCTCAACACCTATGTGAGTACTCAACGCCCTCTTGCCTCCTGTGTCCTGGTGCTGATTAGTCTTGCTAACTTCTTCTAGTCATGGTGCTTATTTGGGACTTGTTTTGGTAATAAGGGATGGAGAGGTAGAATCATCTTTTAAGCTACTTATTAATTAATCAATCGATCTTGCTACTTTTTTTGTCTTGTCATGGCTGCAATTAAGCATATGCGTGTTTGTATTAACAAGTCGGCATCATATATTCATATTCATTTCATCTGTAGCTAGTCTTGGTAAATCGGCAGCATTTCAGACAAGCACTGTGCTCTTCAGATTGCGATATGAGAACTGGATCTGTTGCTGTCCAGGGTAATGCACTGTGCTTCTGTGTGTGTTGTATTGTACTCTACTTGAGATTATTTAATTAATAAGTGTAAAATAAGCCAACCACTAGTGTAAAAGGGCTTTGCAGCTTTAATGCAAGTATACATCCTAGTTCTAAAACTTTTAACATTGTACTGATTATGTGTGTGTGTGGAAATCTTCTGAATGTGCTTATTCTTGAAGCAATATGTCCTGCAACGAGCTTCATCCGACGGTGAGGCATGGAGATGAACTCTCCAGAAAAAATTGTATCATCCTGACATCATTCCTTGAACCTCTTATTGTAGCTACTAGATGGAACAAGATACTGGATGAAGTACAGGAACCAGATTGTTTTGTTCTAGAAGACTCTACTGATGATGTAGTGTACTGATGATCAAGCTATAATCTAGAAGTTACAGCATAGCCATGTTGCCTTGTGACTGTTGTGAGTTCTGTCCATGGCCTAACCGTGGTCGTTACTTACCTCTTGCAATCTGCAGGGATTCAGAAAGGTTGATCCTGACAGATGGGAGTTTGCAAATGAAGGTTTCCTTAGGGGTCAGAGGCATCTTCTCAAGATGATCAAGAGAAGGAAGCCGCCATCCAACGCGCCCTCATCGCAGCAGCAGGCCCTCACATCTTGCCTGGAGGTTGGCGAGTTTGGATTTGAGGAAGAGATTGACAGGCTCAAGCGCGACAAGAACCTCTTGATCACAGAGGTAGTGAAGCTAAGGCAGGAGCAGCAAGCTACTAAGGATAACGTGCAAGCCATGGAAGGCAGGCTACGAGCTGCTGAACAGAGACAGGCCCAGATGATGGGGTTCTTGGCAAGAGCAATGCGTAACCCACACTTCTTCCAACAATTAGTCCAGAAGCAAGATAAGAGGAAGGAGCTTGAGGATGCCATCTCGAAGAAAAGAAGGCGGCCTATAGACAATGCTCCATTTTATGGTCCCGCGGCGACAACAAGTCAGAGCGAGCAACTTGATTCACAGTTCCTGTTTGATTCTGGTGTCCTCAGTGAACCTGGAATGAATGGGATGGAGAATTTAGCGCAGAACATTCAGGAGCTTGGGCAGGGCAAAACAGACGAGGAGAAGAAGGATGAAGCTAATGGGCAGTTGGATATCAACAACGATTTCTGGGCAGAGCTATTTTCTGATGATTTTGGAGACGGAGACGGGTCTGGGCTGTCAGAGTTGGAGGGAAGGAGACCTGAAGATATCGACGAACTGGCACAGCAGTTGGGGTATCTGAGTTCTACTAGCCCGCAGTAGAGTTTTGTTCACAGTGGTTCACTTCAACCAACAAACATTGCTTCTTCAGTACTACTATTGCAGATCATCTTGAACAACCTGGTATATTTCGTGTTCAATGACACAAATATCATAATCTTACTAATAAGTGTAGTGAAAATATCGTAATATGCTAATTAACGCAGTGACACATGTATTGCCATAAGTCTGCAAGACTGAGAGTTAGAGTAGTGGTTGGATCTTTGAGAACATGGTTGAAATCTACATGCCTGTTTTCATTCTCGATTGGTCTGGTTTATGGCTTTCCCTCTTTTGCTATACTTACTGAAGCTTTCTCGTTTGTTCATTAACCAGATTTAGTTGATTGGTGGCAACATGACTGGCTATCTGAGGTGTTCCATACCGGAGATTGGACCGTGTTGATGGCACCTCTGGGTAGAGAGTAGAAGCTGAAGACTAATTGCTGTAAGTACTCACCTGCCTCTGTCCACTTGCTGTCATTTAGGAATTGTTCTAGAATTCCCGCAAAAAAAAGGAATTGTTCTAGAATATAACAATGCTCGATTTCTTTGATGCAGGCGTCGCTTGATGGAGACCCATGATGTGTATTGAATGGTTACCTAAACTCGCAACTCTGAAGAAGATGGTCCAGGTCGTCGACATTCGGTTGGTCTTGAGCTGGTGTTCAGCAGCAGTAGCTGTGGAAGTGTGTTACTGTATATACTCGTTGGGTGAAGTTTTGTTGTGGAAGTCTGGTCTGTAGTCAGCCGTTGGCATCTGGGTGTGGGTTTACCCATTTCTCCTGCTGCTGTCCATTTGCCAATTTACCTTACTTTTAGGGCCTGTGTCCTGTGTGATGATTGGTAGTGTATGCTGGAACCTCTGTTATATTGAGATAATAAATGTTGATAACCTTTGCAAGGTACTCCCTCCATTCGGAATTACTTGTCTTGAAAATAGATGTATCTAGAACTAAAATACGTCTAGATACATCCATTTCTGCGACAAGTAATTCCGAACGGAGGGAGTATTGGTTAGTGTTCTTATTATTGAACTCGAAGCTAAGCACAATCACCCTTTAGGCAATGTGCACTGATAGGCAGTTTTTTATCAATCATGTTTAAGTTGATGGATGTAGCCATGCTAACACATGATCTGCTAGCCGCTTCACACGAGGAAAACTTGGACATGCCAACATACATTCAACCCTGAACCACAAAGGCGACCAAGCAGTTCAGTTATAATGTAACATAATTATCTTTTTCTCGTGCCAAAGCAATGACTATTATCGAAAAAGGCTTTCGCCCCGCTCTATATATAAAGCAACGATCAATCACAGCCCAAGTACAAATGCATCCCACGACAACACACACCCACCCAAGGCGGGACACATAGGCGCTAAGCGCAACAACACCACCCCTGACACTACAAGAGCAATCAGGGTCCTCCACCGCAAAGAGATGAAGCCGCATATAACGAACCATGTGCTCCAAGGCGGTGCCTTCAAGAGGGTTACGACGCTAACACGCCGCCACCGCCCGACCCGAGGATCAGAGTTTCCCCTAGAGCAACACGATGACTGATGAGAGCTAACCCATCTCTGAACCCTTACGATGACTGCGCTAACCCATCTTTGAACCCTTACGAGCATACATATGTATGCGACGGGGAAGATTTCTGTGGAACGTCCCCTCCCTATGCGTGTCCATAAACAAATATAGCACTTAACCTCTTGTTGGCTGACATATGAAAATGCCTGAGGCCATGATTACATGATCGACGGAACATCATCCGTCCAAACATTGAAGTACTTGTAAATAGAAATATATTAGAGGCAATGTACCTAGAAATCCTTTCTCAACTTACTAGTTCATCTTTATACTACCATAAGAACATCAAACAAATCAGCAACACCATCTCATATATATAACTCTAACTAGTAGTAGGATGACTCTACATCTACCCGCAAAAAAAGGATGACTCTACATCAGGCCACGAGGTAAAGATCTAGCCATCATTCGACGACCCGAAGATAGTGAAATCTGCCTTGAGGACGCACTTCGATTCTATAAGATAGCCTCTGGACATACCCTGGAGTTCCTTGAGTGGCAAGAAGTCGAACCATCCCCACCCTTCTCGATGTGTACACACCAAAAGATCTGCCATCACCTCAAAAGTAAGATCAACGGTAATTATCAGGGGGTTACAAACAGTATTTCACACACCGCACTATAGTCGCTAGGGAGATCTTAACCTGTAGTTCTAGTGAAGTATTTCCCAGTCTTTTGGTCCAGGATGGACAGCGTAATTTGAACCACCTTCCTGGACTCGATAAAGAGCTCATCCAAGGACTCCAGGTACAATCCCAAGGCGAGGCAATCAGTACTGCGCCTCTCACCATGTGGATACATGCCGATGTACCTATTGACAAGAATGGGAAGTGATACTTCAAATACAATTGGGTACCCGGGTAAATGTATTTGAAGAATGTAGTTAGTTATGACATCAGAAAGTTGTGTCTGAGCTTGTGTGTAGGCAGGTACACCCATTAACTCTGAACACGACTTAGTGGCATCAAAATTAGAGTATTACAATTATACAAAAAATCTAAGCAAAAGATGACTACAGTACAATATAGTAAAAATGTTACTGTAAATATACTTGAAGTAGAGTTCTTTGGTTCCATGCTTAGAGATCAAACTAAGATGTCCAGTTGGAATATCTGAAGGGATAACAGACCTTGCCTTGCACAAAGACTTGGCCATCGGTAATGTCTGTTGACACAAAGCACTAAAAAATGCTTCTGTCCACTATGTGTAAGCAATCATGTCGGATAACACATGCATGGTATATATATAATTAGTGATGCAACTGGTAACAGGGTGAATACCATTTATGCCCGCCAACTTCAAATGTAGGAGAACGGACAAAGTTCTGAGAGTCCAATTCTAGGAAATTGTTTATGGTCCAAGTGTAAGTCCCTTTGATGAATCCCTTCTTCTGCACAAAGAGGTTCTGAACTATGGTAGCCTTCTTTTGAACCACGACGGCCTTCTTTTCAGGAGAAGAGACATCAATTTTTAATATCTCCACACCAAAGACACAACTATCATCAACTAGAAAAGCAGATGATTTCAGTAGCTCCTGAAGAGGAATCAAGCATTCCTTTTTCGATTGGGCATTGTTGAAAGCGAAGTTGTAGCTAGCTGTGTTTAGGTAAAAGTTAGAAAATTAGAGAAATACAAACTTGAAAATATTCCAAGTAACATATAATCAACTTTCCCCCGCAAGCAAAAAACATATAATCAACTTTCACCCCAGTTAAGCATTTAAGGAGAGATGAAAATAGTGAAATCCATCCAAATAAAGATTATCAAAGTAAAAGAGAACATGTATATGTACTCTGGAACACCAGGATATTGTTTGAATCAGAAGAGTCTCAAGCGTGACACAAATGGCAAGTCAACAGATAAACTTAACATAGAAAAACATATGAAGCAACTTGTTAATGGGAAAAGTAAATGACCATGTTACGACATTTATAGCTATTGATTTGTAATGATGGAATTTATAACTCAAACTTGTGATGCACTAAGACTATATATAGAGTCATAGCTAATAGGATGGGTCTACTTTTTGTGTGTGTGGGGAAATAGGATGGATGTACTTGAAAAAACACATTCACGAGTCTACCTTTGTATCCACAATACATTCCATTTGAATGGTTGAATATTGACAACTCAAACACTGCATGCACCGTTTGACCTTGCTCCAAGTCTCCCTTGGATATCATAAGAGAAAGAGCAACATATAGATTTTCTTTATCATCTTGTTTGTGCTTTGGAGTCAGTAGCAAGCACCTGCGAAGGGAATTTAAGAAGAACCAGGTAAGTCTAGAAGTCATAACTGAATCAAACCTAATTTCCTCATTTCATGCATGCTTCATTGTCTGGCTGTTTTCATGGGTTTGCGTGATTGTGATTGATATTTGAACCCGACCGAAACATGACCGCATGATATTTATACATATAATACATTAACTTTGTACAGTTCCTTTTGTGTTATGATGCGTACCAATTGTACGCAGAGCAGTGAAAAAGAGCGGATATCGCCGAGGTAGCTTTCGTCTCAAGTAGCACTGAGAAGTCATGGACCTTCCACTCTAAGTCTGGAACATGGGTCTTTCCTAGTGGTGCGGGAGCTGAAATTTGAAAAATGCATAAATCAAAATTGTATAACAGAGAAAAGAAAAAGAGTTTATGGTATGAGCAAATTTATGTCCAGGTTGTAGTTCCAGCAGATAAACAAGTTGCAATATTCACCATGGGGAAAATGGAATGGTGCAGAATAGTTCTCTATGTTCAGATTATGTGAATGAAAATCTTGCATCCAGTGATTTGTGAGAAGTGACCACTAATATTCTTGGTAGTTATCATGTCACGAATCTAGGATACAAACGACCGAACATGCACTTTTCTCTTCTTTTCTGTTTGTTTTGAAGAGGCCACTTTTCTCGTATATCTAAATAAATACTGAGAACTAATTAAGGGCTAGCTCTTGGCAAGAGTGGCCAGGTTGTTGAACCCGCCCACCCGCGTTTAAATCCTTCCCATGGCCATGGGGATGCTATATATCCGAGTTTATTCGCGGAGAATCTTACTTCTATCTAACAGCGGAAAGTTAACGGAGGGATTCTCCCCCTGTAGCCTCTTTTTTCATATATAAATAGTCTCTACTGTTAGTTGTAATCAATAAGCATTACGATCGAGGACCAGCACCGTAATGCATTGATGGTGTTTCTCCAAAAGGGTGCTGCATTCAACACATCAGTATGCAGTCATCTTGCCGATTCATCAACATGATGGTGACGGCAAGCGCTTCCTCAATTTAAATAAAGTTATAGTCTCGTACTCCCTCCGTCTCAAAATAAAGTGTCACAACTTTTTGTACTAACTTTAATATGAAGTTGTATTAAAGCTGAGACACTTATTTTGGGACGGAGGGAGTATGTTTTAACCTGACATGTACTTATGTACTTAAAAGGGATTGGTGTGAATTGCGTCAGACTTTTTGTTCATAGCAGAAACAGCCTGAAGCTGGATTGGGCGGGCAAACGTACCTGTGCTGCCGGAGTTGCCCATGGCTCCGCCCCTTCCTCTTCGCCTGCAAATGAAATTGGTGGTCATCGCGCCATGGTAAGGGCACAATAAAATTTGTACTATTCATATCGCCACAGTGCAGAGGTACAAGACAATTGATACGGTGGCTTCAGTAGGTAAGTCATCAAACAAATAACAGCAAGAACCTAAACCCGATTTGTTTCGCAGATGATCAGCAAGGAAGTAAGTCGAAACCCTCATACGACATAGAAGGGGAAAGCAAAAGTGGGAGAGAGGAGAAAAGACCTGGCTGGCTGGCTGGACTTGGGTGCAGATTGCACAACGGCTTGGCTTCCTCAGACGGACGGACCGACGGCGTCGGTTGGGGCTCTGCGAGCTCAGGGAGCGGGGGTGGGGTTTATGGAGGGAGGCTGCCTCCTCTTCCCCGAATTCTACGGCTGGTTTCCGGTAATCGGGATTCCGGGATTTTTGTCCCCCCCCCCCTCGGTCAGTCTGGACGCGGCCCGGTTGGCCTTTGGACCGGCCGCCAGCGGGTCCATCTCAGCGAGAAAGGAACAGGCCAACATTCTTGGCTTGGCTCGGCCCGTCAGCCATCAGGCCCATTTTTCCTACTGTCTTATTTTTGCTCTGTTTCTAAATAGAGCAAAAATAAGACAATTAGGAGCTAAATTTTGAACATCTTGGAAAAGAGGTTCAAATAGACCAAGAGAAAGCAAGTTTTTCTACATGTCGAATGAAAAGTTTATTGATGGATCAAATATGATGTTAACGGAATTTTGTGAGCATTTCGTCTGATATTGTTTGATTCGGGTGTCCTCAGTGAACCTGGAATACATGGAATGGACAATTTATCGCAGAACATTCAGGAGCTTGGGCATGGCAAAACCGACGAGGAGAACAATGATGAAGCTAATGGGCAGGTGGAGCTCAACAATCGAATTCTGGGCAGAGCTGATGATTTTGGAGACGGAGACGGGTCCATGGGGAATCATTCTTGTTCAGTTTGTGATAATTCTGGTGTTGCTTTTATCATGTGGTCGCATGTAGAAACACATTGATCACTTTATTGTTAGTAAGTAGGCATTTGTACTAAAGCGCTACCTTGTGATTTCAAAAGAAGTTCGTGTGAACTATTTTATATAATGGTTATGTGACATTGTTCTTAAACACTGTAATGCTTGTTTATGTATTGTATATAAATTTTTGCGGCAGGGATCAGGGAAAAAGCAATAAAAAGTTGTCTGGGAACGGATCTTTGCCGAGAGCCACTCTCGGCAAAGTGGCATCCCCCTGCTGTTTGTTGTGGCATCTTTGCCGAGAGCCGCTCTCGGCAAACAGCTGACGAAACCAACCGACGTGAAAGTTAGTTTATTTTGCCGAGCTGTACTGTTCGGCTCTCGACAAAGTCTTTGCCGAGTGCTCGTACCCTGGCTCCCAGCAAATTCCTGTTTGCCTGAGAGGTGTACGCTAGGTGACTTTTGCCGAGTGTAGCACTCGGCAAAGGCTTTGCCGGCGATTATAGACCCTTTGCCGAGTGTCCGCGGCACTCGGTGTATAACTAAATTCGAGTAGTGAGTATACCAAAGGAATGGCAAAGACATAGGAGGATGTTTCCTTTTAACAATGGCGGGCGTCTTACTGCAGATGCGTTTTTCCTTTCTGCGGGGAACAACCAAGCATTTATTGGGAGATCTAGCTTAATTAAGGCAAGAGGTAGGTGCGTTTGGTTGCAAGGGCGGTAATGAATGGGTTGGGATCGTTCAGAAAATAGACATGTTTGGTTATAAAGCACATGAATGGTTCGAGCCAAAAAAAGAGAATATACCATGAAGATGTTGAACCGTTCCACCCAATCAAATCGGTCGAATCAAATGGCCACCCTTTGCATGCATGACTATGTGAGCATGACTGGTGGTCCCGTCCTAAATAATTAGCTCACCACTTATATTCAGCCAAACACATGAATTGAATGGTTCAATCCCAAAAAAATTAAACGGTCCCAACCCATTCATACGACATCTTCAACCAAACGCAGAACACTACCTCCAAGAACCGCGCGGAGATTTCCTTGGTCCCGGGAGATGCGTGGTCCAGCATGTGTCCGAGGGATCCGGTTTGCCTGCTCCCTTCCCATGCTCTCATCCGTGCTCCCACTTCATCCTACGGCTGTCTTTTTTCCCTTTCTCTTTCTAATCTAATCATCTCCCCTCCCCCTGATTTTAAAGGGGTGGGGCCGGGTTTTATTTTGTTCCAATCAAAACAAGCCACGTACGTGGGAGCACGGATGGGCACACGCCGGGGGAGCAGGCAAGTCTCGTCCGTGTCCGAGCCACCGGACGGATCCATCATAAGATAACGTCACGCTTTTTATAACCTGACGGTGTGCGTGTGTGGGCAAATCCAGGCCGGTCCTAATTTTTCTCCTTTTCACTGCATACTTTTTATAAAACGTGACGGTGTTGAACTAGGATAAAGCTACAAATGAGTTAGACTAACTCGATAAAATTTTACATTTCAAAAAGAAGAACTCGATAAATTTTTACGTTTATCATGGCAATGCGGAACACGAGCTCTTCGTCATCCATCATGGAGGAGCTTGAGTCATTCCTGACAAGCGCCACACTATCAATGTCGTCGGACTCGCTGTTTGATCTTTGGTCGGCCATGGTGGAGGGAAGGGGAGAGGGAGGGCAGGAGATGGGGCGGTGGAGCGGAGAGGTCGAGAGGGTGATGGTTTGACTAGGGTTTGTCGTTCAGGTGAGGTATTTATGGGGGCAAAGGTGGGGATGTGGCGTGGGCCCGTCCGGCGTGGCGACAGCGTCCGGTGGCGTCTGGTTCGCGCCATATCCGTCCCAAATATGGACCGTGTATGGGGTGCCGGTTAGAGTAGACGTTTGGTTGTGTTTGCCTAGTCCTATTGGGTATCGTTTTTCAGTCGGATAATGACCATGGAGGCGGCCTGAACGTTTGGGTTGGAATATGGAGCCTCCGCTTGCAACCGGACTCATTAAATATCACCTCCCAAATATTCCCGGACACGTTCAGACATGTCCACGTACGATGCATGGTGACCCCTCAATTGTCTGCGTCGACGGGCATGTCCCTCATCTGCGACGGTGGACAACTGTCTTGCCGCTGCAACTCGGGCGAGGGGCAGTATCGCCGATTATCTTAGACTCGGGCCGAACATCATCGGCTCGATGATCCACCGCAGAGGTTCCATGGCCAGCCCGAGAATGTCTGATGCAAAGGGCATGTAGTGCCAGCCACCGCTCGCTGGCTCCAAAGCCACCGCATCGAGACATCAGCACTCACTTGCACGGATGCACGTGCGATGAAGCAAAACTAGAATCTCAATAAGATGCTCATGTGGTCCCACTCATAGTCATTGTCTGTGGCAGCAGAAACGGTCGACAAAATATACTCTTCGTTGGCGCGGAATCTGAAGGTATAACATCCTTCGGCTTGTTGCGATGATACGTCTCCAACGTATCTATTTTTCCAAACACTATTGCCCTTGTTTTGGACTTTAACTTGCATGATTTGAATGGAACTAACCCGAACTGACGCTGTTTTCAGCAGAACTACCATGGTGTTATTTTTGTGCAGAAATAAAAGTTCTCGAAATGACCTGAAACTCCACGGAGTCACGTTTTGGAATTAATAAAAAATATTGGTGAAAGAATCAACGTAAGGGGGCCCACGCCCTATCCACGATGGTGCAGGGTGTAACCACCCCCCTGGGGCGCGCTCCCTGCCTTGTGGCCCCCCTGGACCTCCACCGAGATCAACTCCAACTCCATATATTCATGTTCGAGGAGAAAAAAAATTAGAGAGGAGGATTCATCGCGTTTTACGATACAGAACCGCTGCCAAGCCCTAATCTTCCTCGGGAGGGCTGATCTGGAGTCCGTTCGGGGCTCCGAAGAGGGGAATCCATCGCGCCATCGTCATCATCAACCATCCTCCATCACCAATTTCATGATGCTCACCGACGTGCGTGAGTAATCCCATCGTAGGCTTGCTGGACGGTGATGGGTCGGATGAGATTTACCATGTAATTGAGTTACTTTTGTTAGGGTTTGATCCCTACTATCCATTATGTTCTAAGATTGATGTTGTTGTGACTTTTCCATGCTTAATGCTTGTCACTAGGGTCCGAGTGCCATGATTTTAGATCTGAACCTATTATGTTTTCACGAATATATGTGAGTTCTGTTGGGGAATGTTGCATAAAATAAAATTTTTCCTACGTTCACCAAGATCAATCTATGAGTTCATCTAGCAACGAGAGAGAGGAGTGCATCTATATACCCTTGTAGATCGCGAGCGGAAGCATTCAAGAGAACGAGGTTGAGGGAGTCGTACTCGTCGTGATCCAAATCACCGGAGATTCTAGCGCCGAACGGACGGCACCTCCGCGTTCAACACACGTACGGTCAGCGTGACGTCTCCTCCTTCTTGATCCAGCAAGGAGGGAAGGAGAGGTTGATGAAGATCCAGCAGCACGACGGTGTGGCGGTGGATGCAGCAGGGTTCCGGCAGGGCTTCGCCAAGCATTTGTGGGAGGAAGAGGTGTAGCAAGGGGGAAGAGAGGCGCCAAGTGCAAGGGTGCGGCTGGCCTCCCTCCCCCCTCTTTATATAGGGACCCGAAGGGGGGTGGGGGGGGGGCGGCCCTAGGAGATGGGATCTCCTAGGGGGGCGGCGGCCAAGGGGGGAAACTTGCCCCCCAAGGCAAGTGGAGGCGCCCTCTCCCCTAGGATTCCCAACCCTAGGCGCAGGGGGCCCCAAAGGGGGGCGCACCAGCCCACCAGGGGCTGGTTCCCCTCCCACTTCAGCCCATGGGGACCTCCTGGATAGGTGGCCCCACCCGGTGGACCCCCGGGACCCTTCCGGTGGTCCCGGCACAATACCGGTGACCCCTGAAACTTTCCCAATGGCCGAAACTCGACTTCCCATATATAATTCTTTACTTCCGGACCATTCCGGAACTCCTCGTGACGTCTGGGATATCATCCGGG